GAGCAGGGGCCGGGGTGCAGAGAGAGGGAGACACAGAATCCAAAGCAGGTTCCAGGCTCTGAGCTGCCAACACAAAGCCCAATGTGGGGCTTGAACCCACAAACTGGGATATCATGGGGCGCCTGGGTGGCTCAGTCTGTTAGGTGGCCGACTTCAACTCAGGTCACGATCTCAGGTCCGTGAGTTCTAGCCCCACATCGGGCTCTGTACTGACAGCTCAGAGCCTGGAGCCTGCTTCATATTCTGTGTCTCCCTCTCTCTGACCCTCCCCTGTTCATGCTCTGTCTCTCCCTGTCTCAAAAATAAATAAACGTTAAAAAAAATTTTGAAAAAAAAAAAACTGGGACATCATGACCTGAGCTGCAGTCTGTCACCCAATGGACTGAGCCAACCAGGCACCCCAACATGCTTTTCTTTTTAAATCATAAGCATAACTTAGACTTTACCAAATCTCTTTGCTGCTAGACTGCTCAGATTCAAATATGAATCTCAATCACTGCATCCATAGGGATCCATGTGATATTCTTTGCTTTTTAAAATTATAATTATAAAAATATTATTATAAATACGGAAAAGAATGTCAATTATTGTTATCTAGTGAATGTTTATTTCTCCCCTCTATTAGATTGAAACTGTCTAAAGATAAGTACTATATTGTTCTTACTTTTTATCCCTCATAGAAGATGTATGTTATTGGAGCAAGTACTATATATTTGATAACTGAGCACCACCAAAGTTATAGTTAAAGTTATAGTTCTTTCACTTGTCTAATAATACTTGAAGTATTATCATAAGGTAGAGAATATAGTTATAAGAATCAACAAATTTCATCAGCCATTTCTAATAGAATAAAAATTAATTCAGGTGTTCATTAAAGTTGATATGCAGTAAAGTTAAAAAAAAAAAAAAAAAACTTGTGTTTTAAATGATTTAGCCCTGCATTATAAAGTAAGCTAAGTGTAATTGCATTATATTATTGTGTGATTGCTAAGTGTAATTGCTAAGTTTACATTGCATTAAAAAGTAAGTTAAGTGTAATTCTTCAAATACAAGTATGTACACTTCAAACTTTTTCACCAGACATTAGACTGCTAAAACTTGCCAAATTTCAGATAGATATCGGTACTTCCAAAGTCTTTAAAACAATTGTTTTCTAATCTAAATCATATAGGTTAGAATTATGAACACATAATTGCCTCCAAAATATCCATATAAAGATCCAAGTAACATTAAATTTCCATCAGATAAAAATTGTGTTTGCCTAAATTAGATCCTAACAATGGTATAAAACTTTTTCATTTTCTCTAAAAATAACTCTTAAATTCACTCTAAATTTAAAGAGGCAGTTGAAACACATTTTTAACACTAATTTAGTTGATATGTTTTTTATTTTTGAGATTTGAAAATATAGCATTTAGATAGTTTCTATTTTCAAGTGTTAATTGCACAATACCCCATCCTAATAGTGTGAGATTTATTTCATATTTCCTTCCGGTTCTTGTTCATAAGTACATATGTTTATCTTATTTAGAACCATAATATTTAATATTATTTCCCCCCTAAGGCTTTTAAGGACATATGATCAAAACACTTCTCCCTAAATTTCCATTATGGTACTTTTATTAACTATACACTATAATATTAAAAATAAGTCCATTAACAATGATTTTAAATGTATTTTAAAAAACTATGCAACAATGTACTAAATAACAGAGGATGATGAGTTAAAGCTGGCTAAGGACAAAGAATGTGTACAACCAGAAGTGAAAGAAAGTCTAAATGTTCACTGGACGGGTGAGACTGAAGAGATAGGGTTGCAGAGAGCTCGAAGACAAAACAGGGGAAGTGAGATTAGCAGGCAGAGCCCTGCTCTTTTTTTCAACCTTTCCTCCCCTTCCCTTTTTTTCAAACTTATTAGCAGTGTTTCTTATGATCATAATAGTGATAGTCTATGTTACCACTCTAAAGGAAACCCCAAAACAGTCTCGGTTGATAAACTAACTCCCACTTATTCCTAGCTTCGTTAGAACAATGCTACAATAGGAGATCTTTTTGTCTTCTATGCCACTTTATTTTGCAGTGAACAAAATCTTATTTTCAACATGAAATGCTTTAAACTGGAACCTTGCCTCTAGATAGCTGTATGAATTTTATTACCAAAACATTACCACATTTTTAGTTATTGCTAAAACAAACAAACAAATAAAACCTGTAATATTTCTCCTCTGGGATGGCAAAATCAATCAACACTAATTACATTACCTGTTTCAGACATCTTGATTTTTTTCTGCAAGTCTTCTGAGAGCAATAGTCTTGTAATTAGCTAAATTGTACACTGAACCCCAAAATTCATATTCTTCATACCAAAGCATCCAAACCAAAACACAGATCAAGATTTCCTCCAATGTGGAACCAAATCTTATCTTCTACTTAATTTCCAACACTCCCAAATGCAAACTAAACGCAATAATTTTGGATCCCATACCCAAGAAACCTTGGCTTACCTTGTTACTATTAGACAAATTATTAACAACAAAACCCTATAATCTTTATTGTTGTAGATCACCTGTCAGATGAGCTGTTGATCTGGTTGTAGTATACTACACATGCTAAGTATACTGAAACGAATGTTTCAATAATTTATTTTTCATGAACTAATTCACTTAAATATATTTTCACAAAGCCCAATACATATTTTAGGAACAAAGTGACCAGAATATACCTGTTCCAGAACTAGTATCCCAAAAGGCATCTAAAATTGTTCACCAACAGAGTTTCGTGCTTTATCATGTTGAGAGGTCTAGAAAGGACACCTGATTCTTAATGCTGATTATTAGTGAGCAACAAAGGAGCCAACTGAAAGTTAAACCCTAAACTGAAGTACAGCAGAACAAATATTTAGCACTGAGAAAATTATCCATCATCAACACCAACTCTGTTTGCCATTTCACAGACCAAGCAACTGATCAATTTCTTCATTTTTTAGCTGGTTAGTCTACTGTCCTGCATTTCAATCATTCAGAGCATGGAGTTTACAGATAGGATATGAGCACAAATACCGGATTCAAATTGGACCAAAATCAAGTCCTCATCAATTCTGAATACATTAAAAAAAACAGGCAAAGATTTAGTAACATAACAGCTTGTTTTATGGAATCTTACTTTATGTGCGTACAACTAAACAAAGTGAGGCAACATAAAGTATGGCCAAAAGATTTTTTTTAAATAAAATAAATATATATGATTAAGTGCATGGTGAAGTTCTTGAAAACATTGCGGTCACAATTCGGCATTAAATTTTAAATTTTCAACTGGCAAACTGTTGACTGCTTTGGGATTTTCAATTTGAAAATTTCATAAGAAACTTGAGAATATAAACAACTGAGCTATAAATAATACTTAAAGTTAAATGTATTAAAATTTATTAATTAAGTGTATTAAATAATTAAAATTAAATGTATTAAAATGTTAAAAATTCTTGCATTACAGTCTTGCATAAAAAACAAATGACAACACTAGGATATTTAAAGTTAAGAAGATGATTATGAACAGCTCTTTATATATCTTTCTAATATACAGTTTCATTGGTGGGAAAACACACATTCCTGCTCACTGAAATTATTAGAACATCCGAAGCAATGCCTGATTAGACACTATGGGAAACTAATGTGTATTTGAAAAATGTTACAGAAATATTTTATACCTAAGTTTGCCACGTTATATCTATTGTCTGCCATACTCCAAATTCAAAATAGAAAACCAGAAAGAGATCAAGATTTCACTTTGCAGGGCTAAAATATCTCCTTCCCCAAGACATGTAAAATTGATTCAAAAAAATTATTCTTTTTTTTATATTTTGAGATTGGCATGAACATAGGCTTATGATTACATAGAAGTAACTAACACTGAAGAAGAAAACAAAACTGATTCTCAATGGCCAAAATATATGATATGAACAATTATTATAAAAGAAAATCCTACTTAAATTGCTTTTTCAAAATCTTTTAAAGAATGAGAGTGAGGTCCTTCTTTGTGTGCAAATAACAGTATAAATTGTATACATTTAAAAAATGTATAGTATGTGATAAGACTTTAAGAACAATTAAGATTTAAAAGATAAAATCTTTTGTGATCAATTGTACTCTTTTAGCAAATACTCTTAACTAATATACCACAATAAAGGTGTTTTATTAAATGATAAAGTAATTTCACTCCTGAGATTGTGGCAATACTATGAAAATATACTTACACAAGTAGAATATCAGGTTTATCTTTTAATAATGGTTTGTTATTACATAAAACAGTATTTCAGAGTGCTTGATAAGTTATTTTGAAAATAGTATTTCCTTATATTTTCTTCAAACCAAGAATCTCCAATTTGATTTTGTTTTACATATATATATATATATAATTGACTTGAACTCTTTATCACTTTATGATATCAACACATGTTTTCCAAATCAAATATTTCAATATAAATGCATTGAGACAAATATTTTTAATTCTTATCTGACCAGCTTTTTAAAAACCCAAACCTATACCACAATGACAATCATTCCCCAAAGCCAGTCCATCCACATATTCTCAGAGACTATAAACTTGTTTCTAAGCTCATGTCAAATTTCAGACAATTTTATGGCATTGTAAAAAAGAAAAGTAGAAGGGAAAATTTGTCCAGGGACTAATTTTTCTTTAGAAAGGCCCTGACGTTGTTGCCTTTCACAGTTCTGTAAAGTGAAACCAGGAAATACATTACTCAACAATGTGAATAATTTCAGTACCTTTTACTTTCAAATTTTAAAATCAACCCTGTCTTTCATCACGTAATTTATGAACATACTTATAGAATTTATTAAAAATATCAAAAAATTTGGTTCAAACAAAATCAACAAGCATAGAACAATGAGTGAAACAAAGCAAAGCAAAACAAAATGAGTCAAAAGCAAAACTATCACATACTTCATGGATTAATGGTGAAAAGAAAAGAAGAGACTTCTTACCAAGTACCCCAAGTCGATAGTTGACTGTGATGACGATCACATTGCCATAACTTGCCAAGACACTCCCATCATATAAATTTCCAGTACCTTCCATATATGAGCCTCCATGGATATACACCATCACTGGTTTGGGACCCCCACTGTCCCGAATATCTGAAAAACAAATGGTTGGCAATTGTTCTTATCCTCAAAAAACACACATCATGAAACAGAGAATAAATTTTCCATTTTAGGGACGAAAGAGTATGATTTTAATACAGTTATTTAAATTGCTGTTTTGTTAAAGTGTTTCTTCAGCAACTCATATAATGAGCTATTGTAAAGGAGAGCAATAGATATCCACTGTTTTCCGATAAAATTCCGTTAAAAACTATAATCTGAATTTCAAAACTTGGACAAATTGAAAATAGGTGCTTTTTGATTGATTTCTAAAGTGACAGTAGAACAAAAAGAAAGAATGATAATAGTTCTTAGAACTATTTTTTTTTAATGTTCTCGACCTCATATGGAATTTATGAACCATATACTAAGGACAATGTTATCACTGCTATTGTGAATAAAACACTCTGTTTTTTCATTTCTTATTTACTATAAGGATTTTATTAAATGCATAATGATTATATTGAATAATTTATGCTCTAACTTGTGAACATAATTATAACACTGTGTTATAGGTTGCAGGAAGTTTCATTTCACGACTCAAGTATTAACTGGCAAATGAATGTTTGGGTAATAACGTCTGTATTTTTGTTGTTGCACTTAGGGGACTGTCACTTAAATGATATTTTTTAGTTAAGTCTGTGTTATCCGCCCAATTCACCTACTCTACCCTTTGGAAGAAGAAAACAGACTAAATTATACTTTTCACCTCTTTGTGTAATATTGTACTCTTCTTAATCCCACTTTGGCTCTCTGATTTTGTCTTGTAGACATGAAACAGAATATACCTAAGTCCAGGTGTCAAGTGCAAAATTTAAGATGATGTTAAAATGATTTCTACAGCTCTGAGTTTTAATCAACTGTGTTTGCTTTTCTAAGATACTATTCCCAAATTTTGTAGTTTTCAGTAAGGATTTCAGTAAGAAATGATATATAAGGGAACCATAAGATAATTTTAATAGATATTAAAAATGCCCTAATCTCTAGAGAAATACATGCTTAACTTTGTATTGGCAAACACGGTGTTAACTATTATATATTAAAATATTATATATGTATGTATATGATTATGAACATTCACATACATACATACATATATAAAACATTACTATTCTATAATAGCTCATTATCTCTTCTACTTACAATTGAAACAAAATTAGATCAAGTGTATTATCTTCTTGTTAATGCCAATATTAGAAGTGTCATTTAAAATTATAGTTTTGTTCCTTTGCCTTTGACATTTTTTGGTCAAACTTAAATTTCCTATCTTTGCAGTTGAGGTTTCTGCTTTCAGAATGGCTAATATAATACGAACTGATTGAAAAATCTGATGATTATTTAGGTGCTGCTTTACATTTCCTGTGAAAAGGATGACTAATATAAATGTGCCCATTTTTCTACTGTAATAACAAAGTGATTTTCTTAAATGAAAAATTCCTTTTAGGATCAGGAATTGCAACTCAACTCATTTGTCCAGATTTTCAAATTGGGGAAATAAGCTCATTGCAGAATTTAGAGACTTTTTAAAAAGACTATTTTAAATTTGACTTAATACTAGCATATGAATTTACCATAAGCCCACCACTCCCAAGGGCGTACTTGAGAAGAATGTCTTACTTTTAAGTGGTAGAGGAGGATACTTTGACATAGAAACTATCCACTAGACACAGTTCATTTCGAAGAAAAATCTAAATTTATTTTCTCCTTAAATCCTTGGGAGGGAAAATGGTATTCACTCATTTGTAAAGATTTGAGGGCTTGTGGAGATGTTAGGCTTACACAGAGAAAACAATCCTTTGGAAATTTTGAAACTATCCTCCATTTTTAAATACCTGTTTGCTACATACAGTTTTAGCTTATTTTTCTAGTATGGCTGGCACTGAAGAAGCAATAATAAATTATTAAACTGAAATCATTAACTGACTGTTCACAGCAGACACTGTACTCTGCTAATTGTATGCTTGTAGGTAGCACAGAGGGAGGCTGTTTCAGAATTCTTCTTTAATTAAAATTACATAGAATTACAAAGCACCAACTGTGAACAGTAATGAAATCTTGGTAGAACCATTCTGTTCACCTGGAAAACAATACAGGCACACATTGAGAAGACATGCCACATTTTATACTTAATAACAGAATGAAGTGGACATTGTCAGGAAACACTGAAAATATGACAGTACATCCTAGGAGCCTTTTGAGTGGTGTCTCTTTATTTTTCTTTGAAAATTCAGACTTGAAAGAATTACTGATAGTTTGGGCCCATTCTCATTTCCATTTTGTCTTTTCAAACTTCTCAAAGATTTCAGCCTTGTCTAAGAACTTAATATGTTAAGCTCTTTTCCAGAAAGGTACATGAAATTTGAATGCTATGTTCTGAACAGTATTTCTTTTTTTTTGAAGTAATCCTGAAGCTAATTCTATATGGGGTATTAATTAATAAAATAAGTAAAATTACTGTATGTAACACCCCTTAAAATTACTGATAGTTTGGAAAGATGCCATATTTCTATTACAGAACAATTGGTATTCTATGATAGTGTTTATACAGAGGTCTACCCTAGACTTTATTTTCTTCATAGTATACAGTCTTTTTGATGCAAATGTAAGTCGTAAATAGTTTAAATAGCATAATAATATAATGATAAATATAAATAGCTTAAGTTGTATTTATATTTCCTTTGTTTTTTTATACAGAATCTTTATAAGTGAGACTAATATATCAGATAGCTTACTATTGAATACTATTTGCTAATGCCATTCTTTTAATAATAAAATTTGGGGGAGCCATTATGTCTTTCATGCAAATGTATTAGATGTCCTTTAGTAATTGCTAATGAATTTATTAGAGCTAAGTCATCCTTCTAAAACGTGTCTAATATTTTTCTTTATAAATAAGGTGAATTTCACCTAAAATTTCTGACTTTGCCTAAACAGCTGCTACTGACTTTACTAAAATCAAACCCGCTCTCAGAGCCTTAAGCACTAGTTCAGGTACAGTGAAAAGACCAATGTTCATAACGCATATTTATATTTTCCATTATATGCATTTTTTAAGGCTTTACCAAACATCTAAATCTCTGAAAAGAGTAGGATGGTAAGGGGGAAATATTACACGGAAGGTTATTTTTTATGGTAAGAAAGTATTTAAGTGTTTCAAGTTAAAAAAATTAATAAACTTGGAATCTGAGTAAATATCTCGATTTTAAATTTTAGTAGCTATTTTACCTTTCTGATAAAAAGTTTAAGCCAACGTGGCAAGTGCCAATAGTTCTAGAGCAATTAATGGGGATTTATTTGTGCCTGGCAACCAGGGTTTGGAAATCACTACTCTCCTTAATGGTCTTAATGAATATTTATTAGTCACATAACTCCTTAAACAAGTTTAGCGGTTTCCTTTTTCTTAAAAAAAACTCATGAAGTTTTTAATTGCCCATAATTTAGAGGTTTTGGCATTTAAAAGTTTTTAAAATGTGGGGTAGTGCTGCAATTAAATTTTTCTCTGATACATTTAAAGATATTTCAAGATATTTTTTGTGCCCCTCTTTACTGAATTTACCAACCTCAGTTACCAACTTCATTCCAAACCAGCAAAAGAATATAGAAGTGTTGACTGAATATAATTCTTAGTTTAAAAGTGTATAAAAATCTACAAGAGCAATTTTTAAAAGGCTCTGTGTAGAATATAAAATTGCATTTGAATACTGAAATATTAATATCAAGGTATTCTTAGCACAATTAAAAACATTTAAACATCTCTTAAATTCCCAAAATAAATTGGTAGAAATCTCGGGTGTTGCTTTGACCCACTTTTATCACTTCAGATTAGTCTTTTTGGAACCATGGAAATAGTCTATGAAATATGTAGTTTTTTGAGGTATTATAAAACACAAATGAAAAGTGATACAATTGTGTCTGGCCTAAAATTAGCAAAAGAATAACGGTAAAGACACAAAGGAGAATAGGAAGTTACAATCGTGCTCCACTGAGAAGCATGATTTGGGTTAGTTTAAGTGAATGAGGGGCACACCCCAGTCAATGCCTCTGGTAGCCTCTGAATGCGGTGGCTGTCATAGGAACCTTGAAATCTAGTAAAGGATTTGGGTTATCAGGGAGTAATGGAGAATGGGTAACTAGACTTTTGACTAAAGTAAAAGGAATAATTTATCAAGTAGTTTATATTTGTTTGCTTTATGTCTAGTGATGTTGATTTAACATTTGGAACAAATTAAATGTGAAAGTTGGCCTTGATTTTTATTCACACTCACATCTACAAAATAATTGTAAAAGGAATTGAATAGAAGATGCTCAGACTTTTCTACAAAGGTTTTTTTTAATCCTAAAAGAAATTGATTTATCTTTCTTGTCTTCTAAACAATTGCCCAAAACGACAGCACAGAGGAATAGACTCAACTTGAATTGACTGCTCTTACATTCTACACTTTTGAGCATTTAAAAATATTTATTGATTTGATAACTCTTGTGACTAACTGGCTCAGTACTTAATCTGCCAATTTAAACAGGAGTTTAGTACATTTTTAATGGCTATTTAAAAATGTTAAATGTGCTTCAAAATAGGTCTATAAAATAGATTCACATTTACAGGGCTTAGCTCACTATGGTGGCTCAGAGGTATCTTTTGTAAACATGTAAATGTCTTACTTGATACATTTTACCAAAAGAAAAGAAGTACATTAAGTCAGCAATCAAAATATCTTTTTAAATAGGAAAACTATGTGTACTGACCTTGTAAGTACTTTCAGATAATTTGGAGTTTACAAGTCTACACACTAAGAAGTCCTTTATATTTAAGTATTATTTTAGATAACAAATGTCTAAGAGTTAAGAATTTTCAAAGTTAAGAATTTTCTCAACAAATCTCAAAGCCCCTAAGTGGAAGCAGCCTTCTTAGCTGTGAGAACAAAGTCAATAAATGTGTTGAATGTTTAAAAACTTCAGATTTCCAACAGTGTTTTTAAAAATCAAAATTTGCATTTTGACATTATAAGTTTATTCTTAGCAATTTAGCATTCAAAGTGATAACTCTTGGACAGTTTTAGTGATTTATTTCAAATATTAATGACGGCTTTGTGTTTAATCTTTAATCCACTGTGGGGTTCAGGGTAAACATATTTTTAATCAAAGGTCATCAATTTCATTTAATCAAAATATTTCTTGAATGTTATAAAAATATGAAAACACAATAATATTTTTAAGCTTTCAATACTTCACCTTCAATTTTCTACTATGAGGTAGTTTATTAAATATATATGTCAACGAAAATAATTCAAATTGTTTAGTAAGGATGCATTCATTCATAGTTGTAACTCATGGAGATAGTATTTCTGCTGGTCTGCTTGTGGATTTATTTTCTTTTGAAAAACCATTCTCCCATATTATTAATATTTTTATGAAATTTAATTTCTAGGGTTCTGGGAGTTACTTTTAAGCCTGGGATTACATTAGTCACTTCTCTGAGAATCATAACTAGGGTAGCATTAAAAAAAAAAAAGTCCTAATTGGAATGAAGGTGAACTGAAAATATCAGTGGACACTCCACCTAACACCAGATAAAGGGACACAGTGGCAGAAGAAATGTCAAATCAATCCAGCAAGTACTTACATTTATAGAGTATATCAGATTGTACATCGTAAGAAAGTTAGAAAGAGAAAACAATTTTGATATTAGCAAAGTAGGAAATATTTTACTGCTTATAGCTGGCAACACTTTGAAAATCAGAACATTTCCAGTTGCCGGTCTAGAAATTATCTAAATAGGCGGAATACCTTTATCTATACAATTAAATTTATTAACATAATATTTAAGCAAATCAACAGAAAACAGTATTTTTGTCATCTAAATTATATTGCTCAAGAAACACTTTAGTTTTCCTTCATTTTATTGGGTATGGGGTTCTTTTTAAACAAATATCATATGTAAAAATGAAACACATTTTGATATTGGGTAAAATGTTTACATATATTAGAAAACATGCAAAATGGGTACAAAGAGACTACAGGGGAGAGATTGTTAGTTCAAAGAATATGGACAAATTTCAGTCAAAACATGGGATGAAACATATCAAAAGTCAGTTCAAGAAAACAAAAAAAAAAAATGCCCCTCTTTCTAAAACATTTCAATGGTTGGCATCAAAATGTAAAACTTAACATTCATTTTGAAAAAAAATTAAAAATGTATATTTATATGTAACAACAAGCAAGAAGACAAAACACATCAAAAACGGGAATTAAAAACAACTCTTCAAAAAAAGACAAGAAGTAAAAAAATAGAAAGGGGTGGAAAAAGTGATCGAGGCCGTTGTCATGCAAATAGATTTGGTGGAAAAAAATACCTTCATCTTCCGCACCGTCATTATCACCTAAATCATCTGTCTGTTTCTTTGTAAGGGGACCTAGGATTGAGAACGGAGAAATGGAGGGAAAAAAAAAAAAGACAATTCAAGAATAAACAAGACTGAGGGGGAAAAAATAAATGTAAATATTAAAATTCTCAAGGGTATTTCCAAAAAGAGCAGGGAAGTGGTTACGTCAAAGTGATTATCTATTTTGTTTAAGGAAAAAAAAAAAAAAAAAAAGAATCCCTTTCCCCAAAATATCTTATAGAAGATTTGGTTTGTGAATATATCCAGCATAAAAAATACATTATGGTTTGAAACTCAAGTCATAAGCAAAGGAAATTATTTTTTTTAAATATCTACTGCATATAAAAAAGTAAACAGTTTTAGCTGAAAGAACTTAATTTATTCAGTGTCTTTTCTAATTTGAATTGGTGACAACAATAAAGTAGGCCAAACTCGTCTTTAATTTGGGACAATATAATAACATTAGGGAAAACAGAGATATGAACATTTTTACAGTGTTTTTTTTTCTTTTTTTTCTCCTGTTTTTTCTTATAAGAGCGTTAACACTTGGATTTTACACATTTTTATATCATACATTTTTCGAAACTGTGACTTTAAAATTACTTGTCATAAAACAAATATTTCCCCATTTGTTTTAATTAAATATTAGCTGTGGACTTAAGACATTTGCAGCCTGCACAAAAATATGAACAGATAATCTCATCACTCTGTAGAGAAAGCTACTATCATTAGAAGTCAGTGTTTAGTTATTAAGGAAGTTACAGAGTCAGGCCTTATATTTCATAAGCAATTTAGTAATATAACAGAATTGTGCCCTTGTGCAATTTCATGTCCAGTAGAGTTATTTATAATGGAATCATCTTTTAGGATAATAATTGCATTAAAACACTGTGAATGTTTAATAAATGTTTTATTATACTTAACAATACTAATTTGCTAAAATAAAGAAGCACACCAAAGGGGAAGCCAAAGGCCATGTGAAAGTAATTTTAAGTGTCACATTATTGACATATTCAGCACAATGAAAAAGCAAGTGAAGCCCCACATTTCTTTTTGTTTCCACAACCATTTAATTTGTATGACATTTCATAATCCTCATGCAAAAAGCAATCATTACAAACACAGGACACTCAAGTTAAAAGACAGCCAAACACAGCAATAAGCAAGAGAATTTTGTCATGCATAAAATAAGAGTCATAGAAAAAGGAAGGGGGAAAAAGGACTGAAAGTCATGTATTGATTTCAATAATATAAATAGAAAAGAAGCAGGCATTAACTGTAAGCACACTTCATACGGAAAGATTGTTAAACATTTCGAGAAAGATTTCTGAGTCTTTTCAGCGATTACTGTGCATTATGTTTGTAATTCAAACCATACCTATTATCACAACCCTCAAAGAATGAAAAACACCATCCCAGAAAATGGAAGAAAAAAAAAAAGAGAGAGAGAGAGAGAGATAATCCAGTTGTTTCATCAGCTCAGAGAAACATCCCTGAAAAATAGTAGTAAGTGGTAAAATCCAAAATTGTAAATGAAGAAATTAACGATGTAACTGAAGGGACCCATTGACTACTCAATTGTAAGGTCATGGTTTCAAGGTCATTCCAAATAGGGAGAAGGGGTACACAATAAATTAAGTGATACACTTTTATAGTCACTCTTGCAAGCAATCATTCCATTAAGAGAAAACCTAGATGAAAACAAGTCTATGTTAATTGACACTCAGCTATAAGTTCACAGAAATCTACGTTTCTTTAATATGACCCTGTTTAGTGGAAAAAATACCCTCAATGTTATTGGAAGTCCATGTAACAATGATGCTATTTTTCTGAAAAATAGAGGTTTTTTTTAATTTAAATTTAAAAATTACTATATCAAAAACTTTATTTGAAATAGTCCCAATTTTAAAACATCACACAAAATGTTAGGCTCATAAAATTATGTTTTCAAACTTTTTATTTTTCTTTAGCTACCTTAAGCAGTAAATGAACAGACTTCAACAATTATGATTTCTTGCATTTCTATTTTCAAAGATGCTATATAGAAGTTATAGTTTTATTTACTGGTTAACAACACAGATTAAGTGCAATGGTCATTATTTATTGCTGCCAAAACCACTATCTACTTTCCAATTTTTGCCAAACTACTTAATTTGCTTATTCTTTTTTTTTTTAATTTTTTTCTTTTTTTTTTTTTCAACGTTTTATTTATTTTTGGGACAGAGAGAGACAGAGCATGAACGGGGGAGGAGCAGAGAGAGAGGGAGACACAGAATCGGAAACAGGCTCCAGGCTCTGAGCCATCAGCCCAGAGCCCGACGCGGGGCTCGAACTCACGGACCGCAAGATCGTGACCTGGCTGAAGTCGGACGCTTAACCGACTGCGCCACCCAGGCGCCCCTAATTTTTTTACTGTTTATTTATTTTTGAGAGAGCAAGAGACAGAATGGGAGCTGAGGAGGGGCAGAGAGAGAGGGAGACACAGAATCTGAAACAGGCTCCAGGCTCTGAGCTGTCAGCATAGAGCCCGACGCGGGGCTTGAACTCACGAATCGTGAGATCATGACCTGAGCTGAAGTCGGACGCTTACCGACTGAGCCACCCAGGCGCCCCTTAATTTGCTTAATTCTTGACTCTATTAAGAAACCACTAATACGAGCTCAAAAAATTTTTTTTGCTGAATCATCAATTCACTAACATTTGGATACACATGTAAAACCTGTAACAATTAAATTAAGTCCCTGTCTTCATTTTGTGCAGGCCTCTTTTGGATAATTCAGGCGAAGCGTCCTAGGGTACCCCAGGAAATTTACATGACTTCTTCAGGAAATCATTCAGCTTCTACAGCCAGTTTTACATACTTTGCACACACACAGAACTGCTGGTTCTTAGGTCTGCATAAGATGCAATATTAAGAGAACCTTCATTAAAACCTGATCTCCCACTTGTTTGCATGTGGGACAGAGTTCTCAGTTTTCTCAGTTGCTAACTGACTCTGGGTCTACATAAGTAGGGAATCAATGGAAATGATACTGCATATACAATGAGATGACTTTTTCATGGATGAAATGGTTGAACAACCTTTTTTGTTTCATTATTTATTATCACCTTCTCTACTCAGGAAGCTGCACGCCTCTTAACTGATGCAGAATAATGATTACATACATGCACTGTATGGAACATCTTTTACTGTAGTAAATCTGAAGAGTTAAAAACAGATATAGATACTGCTTCAGCATCATAAGTAGATGGTGACATCATTATTGTAGAGAAAGAGTAAGTCAAGTTCTCCCAACTAAAGAATTTCACTTACTGAATACTAAATAAAATCTTATTATCATAGGATATCAAATTGTTAACCACACTATGCGTTCCAGCAGTAATTTCATAATTCCAGCATAACTGGGTTTTCTTAACATCAATAATTGTTTACACATCTGATTTTCTAAAGGTTCCCTGGGAAGAAGAGGGCTGATAACAGTTTTTGGCAAAAATGATTATAAGAAAAAAACAAAAAAAAATAGAGTTCCTTTATCTCATATGCTTAAAGGCACAGAGAACAAGTATCTGAAAGTGTCCAGGAACGCAAAATAAAAAAAACTCAACCTTGCTTTCCCCGAGGAAGCCTCAAGTAAACATACTGTGGATTACAGAAACAGATCCCTACATGATCTCAAGATTCCTTATTCTAAGGCTAGAAGGAAAACAGTCTGTTGCCTTAAACTATCTTCTTTTTAGGATATCAGCAACACTGGTTCATTTTTTCTTTTCTCTAAACTGACATAATTTGGTATAATTACTGATGTTAATTTTTTTTTAGTTGAAAGAAAATACAGTAAAAGGTAATTGTCATTAATTGTTTTAGGAAAATTAGACAACCACATTTCAGAGACCACATGCTCCTATAAATTGATCAACATGATTTCCCCAGAAGGTTAAAACATTTATCCTTCAACGAAAATACATAGCAATCATTAACAACAATCCAACCACTGCTTATGCTTCTTTTAAACTACAAACAGTGTATTTTCAATACCAGCAGTTTAAATGGGTATCTTAAAGCATCAAAATATAAAGCGAATGAGTCCTCTACAACCTGGAGAAGTGATTTATTTTACCTTGAAACTCTATCGGATCTGTCCTCCTTGAGGAATGCACACATAACTCTCATTAGAGTTAATAGGAAAGTGGACCTCATGTCATTTTGAAAGGGAGTGAGAGTAATTACTATATTTTATATCTCCTATAGGCAATAAATAGATTCAGTGGTGAAACAACAGGACTAGGAAGGTAAAGGGAACTCCTAACCATGAACTTTCAACTCATTTAAATCCAAAATAGTTCCTTTGCCATTAGTATAAGCATAATTCAAAGTACTGGCCTTTACAAAGGACTTATGATACAGTCTTACATTTTAGGATCTGACCACAGTGCTTTTTATTTTTTAAAAAAAGGAATGAAAATATCAGCATTTCTCTGTAGTTAACTGGAGAATAATTATGAGGCTCCGAAATAATTACTATCCACCCATATTAATGCTGCTTTTTATCATTCCCTTTGATGAAGGGCTAATATACTTTAGGTCTCAAATACATTAGAACTGATTATAAATTCCTTCATTATGGGTTCAATTTAGCAGAAATTATCTGTACTTTGTGTCACACATATCTGCAAAAGGCAAGCAGGTTGAGGGTATTATTAGCTCCTGAGTTAGAAGGCTGGCTATGAGAAATGTGTCCTTCTTAAGAGAAGGAGTCTTTGAAAATTTTAGGATTATTTAGAGCTCCAGGCTCCTGTGAATACAATTGTGATAGATGGAGAGCCCTGGCTAACGACCTTGCTCTATTCTTTCCCCACCAGACTTTGAGGTAAACTGACTCCATGGAATTCCTAAGGCTATTTCCACAGAATGGGGAAATTGAAGAATGTTGCAATTTATTTGGAAATTATATATCTGATAAGAATTTAATATCCAAACTATAAAAGGAACTCATACAACTCAAGGCTGCAAAAAAAACAAAACAAAACAA